GAAAATTTTTAAATCAAAATGGGGGTGTTTGGGTTGCTAAAGCTTGAGAACCAGTGACTTAGATAACTTGGTGTGTGTAACTATACCAGAAGTCTAGACAGAGATTCAAGTTTGTTTAGAAAGCCATATAATGTTACGGGAGCTATATTAAACAGTAATTTGATCTGTCAAAAGTAACAGTGCCCACAAATACATAAAAGAAGTGCGTACTGAATCACTCGCCTAAATGTTTTACTTTGTTAGTGCAGAGCTTGAAAAGTTTATCAGGCATTTAAAGAGCTGAGACAAACATATGAGCCAGACACCAACATAACCAACAAGGGGAGGGGGGACCCCCAACTGTGAGATCCAAACACACACACATCCCATTAGCGGGGAATTGAACTGGGAGTTCTAGCCAGCTAGTGTCCATGGATCCTGTTCAATTGCAAGGCCTCTGCTTAGCAAGGGAATAGATTATTTTTGAAGTTCCACAAACATCCAACACCCCAGGCTGTAAGGAGCTCCCTCAGATACTGTCAGGGTGAAAGAATGATTGTGTTAATTTCAGCTCCCCAACCTTCATTCTTTGTTTTGGTTCTTACTTCCAAGAGACCCAGTTCCAACCCCAAGGCCACTCCTAACTTTCCCAAGCTGCAGTCAAGCTGAACAGATCCTTTAAGGGCTTGTCTACAATTGGAAAATCTACTGAAATAGCTATACCAGAATAGTTATTTTGGTATAAGCTCTGGTGTTAAGACTCTTGTTCCAGAGTAAGAATACTTTTTCCTGATTTAGCTTAATCCACTTCTAGAATAAAGATCTGCACATGGGGTTTATTCCAAAGTAACTATTTCATAATAGCTGTTTTGGTCAATTTACAAAAGTGGACAAAACCTTAGTTTCTCTACTGCACACACAGTTTTGAATAGTAGCAGTTTAACTAACAAGCATTACACTTCCCACTAGGGTGACCAGACAGCAAGTGTGAAAAATCAGGACAGGGGTGGAGTGTAATAGGTGCCTATGTAAGACAAAGCCCGAAATATCAGGACTATCTCTATAAAAATCGGGACATCTGGTCACCCTACTTCCCACATGAATTTACGTGATTTTTTTCTAGCCCACTGTTAATGGCTATGGTTGGCTCTCAGTTAGAGTTTAAATAAACAAATCCCCAAATGGTAGGCCATATTTGGCAGGTAACTTATGAATACTGAAAACTGCAGTTTTTAAACCGAAATAGCCAGTTTTGGAAAAATTAAGTATAAAACATGAAAAAACTATATTAGTAATCTGATTTAGTTTAAATGAAGGCTCACGGCTCTCATGATATGGAAAGAAAAAAATTCTCATTCCACCACAGAAACAGTGAATAGTTTAAGATGAACATTTTCTTTCTTGACACAGCCTTCACTATTTGATGCCTTATTAAAAAAAACAACACAAAACACACTCATTTGCCCCAAAAGAACCAAGTTTGCTGCATCTGGATTATGTTAACCCTCTTTCAGAGTATTAACCATTTACACAGCTTAAGTAGTTTTCACAGGGCTGCGGAACCATACTGGTTTTGGTCATGAACTTTGACAGGACCTACTTTAAAAGCACTTAATGTCACGTTTCTGTGAGTGTCATAGCTAGTATAGTTACTTGTAACTGCCAAAATTACCATCACTGAAAGAACTTAGCAAAACATTTTTGATTTTTTTCCCCTCCAGTTCAGGGGGCTGTTTTGTTTTCTGTACATTTAACAGCACTAGGTACATATCAACTGTCACTGTTTCATATGTAGAGTTAGTTTCAGTGTAGCATAAAGAACGCTTAAACAGATGATCAGAAAAAGATTTAAATATATTTTTAAATTTCATGATCTACTATTTAAAGAGTATCATTAAAACTGAGTAATTTTAAAAATTACTCAATTCCAGGTTGACAGCATCTCTTTAAAATCTACATTGATTAATAGACATCCACAGGTATTCTATTTGGATAAATGCTGGACTGGCTGACAACTTATACTTCTGGACATAAACTGACCATCAACTTGGGTGAGAATCCCCACATAGAAGAATAGTGTTCAGGTCACTAAATACATTATGAAGACTGGTAGTGGGGCAGGAAGCACATGCTAGTCTTCCTTTAGAGAGACAGAGCATGGACATATGATCTAGAGGTTTATTTCTATATAGCAAGCCTATTTTTCAAAAGATGAATACATTCTTCTGTCACTTCCTTCCAGAGATTACAAATATTGGACTTCTCATACAAAAACAGGCACAACAGAATGAGACTCATGGTCACATTCTTTACATTCCATCACTTGCTTTTATTTTTCCATTTATGTCACCATCATTAACCCAAATCATACCCTACTATGTCCTACTGCAGATACAAGACCTAACGTATCTGTTGTTGGTACCTAAAAACCCAGCCTATTTGGGTAACCGACTCTGAACTTTACCCAAAGAATAATACAATCCCAATTAGATAATTCCTTTGACCACATGCTTACAGATGAAAATTACAAAATAGTGCTAATGTTTTTGCCCATAGGTTATCTAAAAATAACTTAGTTTGTGCTTTATTGTAACCCTAAAAATATGTGCAATATTGACTTTAGATTCTTACATGCAATTTCACAACTTAAAACCTTTTTTTTTAATTTAAAATTGTTTTAAGTGCTGCTGCTATAGCTACTATTTGAATGATAATTTCTTATGAGATCATGATTTATATAATCTATCAACAGCAAAATCTCAGATTGGGTACCAAACACAAAGCAAGACGTGACTGAGAAAAGAGGAGCATTAGCGTAGTAAGGCATGGATTCACAGGATGCAGCAGTACTCGAGCTAAGAAACAATACCATGCAATAGGAAGAATTAAAATTTATAAGCATGGAAGGAAAGGCATCATAAACAAAGCTCAGATCAGAATTCCTCAGATATATAATACAGAGAACCAGAAGAAACAACACATTTTAACCCTTCCTACTCGAAAGTCTTTTTTTTTTTAACCACACCTTTTCTTTCAAATAAAGAAAATGCATCAAAAATGGGCGTATAAAATCAACTGACGTTTGAGAGGAAGCCTGAATCATTTAAAAAAAATAAATAAAAAGTAGAATGAGTTAATGCTAACCAGACTGGTTACAGGGAATAAGAAGTGTTTAAAAACATACCTGAGAGAAGAGTTGTATTAGCAACTAGCTAGAGGAAATAAATGATAATTAAAAAAAAAAACTCTAAGAAAAATAAAGAGATGGACAATAAGAAAAATTAACCTCACAAAAATAACTGGATTATAAAAACAGCTCAGGCAAGAACTGCAGGCCCTGCACCACCTGGCACACAACTTCATTCCCATTAAATGAAGCATCTCAGATCTTGACTGAGATAAAGAGAATGGGTCAGAAAGATGGGCTACCACAGAGGAGAGCTGAGTGAATAAATACCAACAATCTCAAGTGGGAATGAGCTACCTGTGAAGTTGATAATAAAAGAGTGTATCTAATTTTTCAGATTGGCAGACCTTTAACAAAAATCGCTATTTTAAAAGTGCAGGTAAGTGAATTAAATGAAAATCACCTTAGCAGGTATACACACTAGAATACCTGGACTTTGAAGACCACTCAGAAGCTTCAGCAAATGTTCAGTTTTGCCACCAAACTGATTAAACTAAGCTACCAAGAGTATAGAAACACCTGTGCTTTACATACTGTATTTGATACCAATTATTTTGTGGATTAAATTCAAGGTACTCGTTACTTGACAAAACCTTAAACTGAATAAAATCCAGTTATCTCAGTAGCCAGCTATCACCTATGCACCAGTATGTCATCTGTTTTTATGAAAATGCTTTGTCTGGTCCAAAGATGATGTGCACCTAAACAGCAGGCCCTCGCCTCTGAAATTAGGTCCTATTGGATACATGTCCAAGTCCACTCCTGGTTACCTTTACTGCCCAATATAAGATCTGTCTCTTTGTCTAAGCTTTCCCAACCAGGTGCTGGAACTTCTTGGCACTGAGCCTACGGTTAGGTTTTCTTTGCCCTTTAAGGTTAGCTAGCTTGGTGTCACTAGTAAAGGAAGGAAGGTGGAATATAATCTATTTATTCTAAATAGAAATTTAAATTTGAAGTGCACCCAGATGCCATGGTGATGGGCACCTTAAACACTTCCAGTGGAAAAGAACACCTGGAAACCGATCATGGGAAAATATACCTAATGAGAACAGACTGTACAACTGGGTATGAATTGGAAAAGTGACATAGTAGAAAAAACAAACAATAAAAGCCATCACTATTTTAGTTTGCAGAGAGACTCAAAGTCACCATTATTAAGCAAAAGATGAGCTGCCTAATAAAAGTACAACTAGATATTATGCTTGAAAGAATGCAGACTATTAAAGCTCATGGAAGAGCAATGAAAGTTATTAGATAGTTAATGAAAAACTAAATAAAAACAGCTTAACTAATTAACACCGATTTTGGGAAATATGACAGATAACCACCCTGAAGGATGCAGGAACAAGAAAGGTAGATTTAGGAAAGAACACAGATCTAAAACTAGCAGCGCTTATGTTAAGAATCTCTGCACTTTGGAAAGACTTCCGAATAAGGAATGTACCCAGGTTGCAGAAGTCCCATCCCCGGAGACGTTTAAAGCTAAGCTGCACAAGAGGCTCACAGCAACCCTGTACTAGTCTCTGCAAACATGGGCTACTGTAGACGGTGCCATCTGCCCGTCCACGTCCCCACCCCAGTACGCGTGATTGGGGTATGGCGGTATCGTCGCTGTACGAAGACGTAACGCCCAAGGCGGGCTCTGGGCACATGCTGGAGGAGAAAGGGTCTGGCTGCTCCCCCCGCCCACGCAGCGGGGCAGAGGGTACACGCTGCGCTGGTACCTAACATGTGGCCAGGCACCGGGAGCGCCGCAGCGGCTACGGGGGCAACACTGACGGCGTAGCGGGGCCTGCTGGCCGCGGCGGTCCGGGGCGCGCAGCGGGGCGGGTACCTCATGCTGTAGGCGCTGGCTCCCAGCTCCTGCCCGATGCCGGAGAGGCTGGCATCGAAATCGTGCGCCAGCCCGGACTCGATCACTTCATCCATCTTCAGCACCCACGCCATCTTCCGCCGCTCGGCGCGGCCGGAGGGGAGGAGCAGCTCAGCCCCGCCGCCGCCGCTACTCCTGTGGGAGGCGGTGACTCGGCGGGGGCGGGTAGGGCCCGGGGGAGGCGCCGAGAGCCCGGGAGAGGAAGGGGAGAGTCCGCGTTCAGCCCCGGGGGGGCCCTTTCCCCGCGGCAGCAGCACCAGGGCGCGGGGCCGCTCTCAGCATCCTGCGCTCGCCCAGCCGCCGCGTGGGGCCCGGGACCCGGCGGCCTCGGCCCGGACACAGCAAGGGGCCGCCGCCGGCCGAGCTCCGACCCAGCCCAGCGGCGGGTGCCGCATCGTTCACGGGAGAAGTGGCAGCAGCACCACCCCCTGCCCGGGGACCCGCCGCCGGCTACAGCTCGGGCGGGGACCTGCCGCCGGCGACAACAGCCCGGGCCGCCAGCGCCGCTTCCTTCCCGGTACCGCTACGGCTGTCCCCGTCTCCCCGGCCAGGCTCTGAGCACCCCGCTGAGAGACGCGGCGCCGCTCCTTGTCAGGCGTTCTGGGGACTGGGCTCTGCTGGGGTCTCCGCTCCAGCGCGGCTACAGAACCTGTACTAACATGGCGGTCGGCTATTTCCCCTTCCCCGTTCAGGTCCCCTACCGGGGCGGGACTTAGCCATAGCGAGAGGGAAGGTTGGCTGGAGCTTGTTGGCGGGCAGCAGGACTGTCCAATCAGAACCTCGAAGAGAGGCAAAGTAGATGGTAGCCAATCAAAAGGCAGTGCCCCAGGCCCCGCGACGTCGATTGCGAGCGACTCCGGGAGAAGTGACTATAAAGCCCAGCATGCATTGCGGGGCCTGCTTGCAATAAGCCTATGGTGCATGCTGGGAACTGTTGTCGCCCTGGTAGCTAGTATTACAGGCCGCCCTCATTGGCGGCGCTGATTTGGGACGTATCTGCACGGACAGCGCTTGCGTTAACCCTGCCCTTGCTACTGGTTGGAGCCTAAGACTGACAGCTGTAGGAACCAATCCATGCTGGAAAGGGAGGCGGGGCTCTTTCTCCCTCTCCGGGAAAAGGAAATGGGCGGCAGTAGAGTAACAGGCAAAGCAATGAGCAGGGCAGCCTGGGCACGTCACTGCCTGGGGCGGGGCCTGGCTCCAAGAGCGCCTGTGGGCTGCAGGAGGGGGGGGAGAGCATCTAGTGCAGTGCACCGGCGAGGCAGCGTGCTGGGTCCCCGCCCAGCAGGGAAGCGCTGTGCCACGGGGAGGGACGTGCTGCCCCTTAGCTTCCCGAGGATGACCCCATAGCAAGTGGGGGAAATCGGGATGATGTAACAGGCAGCGATGTAAGACAAAACCCCAGAACGGTCTCTGTAAAACATCCGAAGAAGTGGGCTGTAGTCCACGAAAGCTTGTGCTCTAATAAATTTCAGAGTAGCAGCCGTGTTAGTCTGTATCCGCAAAAAGAAGAACAGGAGTACTTGTGGCACCTTAGAGACTAACAAATTTGTTAGTCGCTAAGGTGCCACAAGTACTCCTGTTCTTCTTTCTAATAAATTTGTTAGTCTCTAAGGAGCCACAATTACTCCTGTTCTTCTTTCTAATAAATTTGTTAGTCTCTAAGGAGCCACAAGTACTCCTGTTCTTTTTTCTGTAAAACCAAGACATCTAGGCCCCTCCCTCTGTAAACTAGTTACCTATTCTTGAATTAAAAGTGTAACCAGTCATTTTTAAAAAAGGAAGAAAATTAACAAACACTGGGAAACAAATGCGTACTTAGAGCTAGATCACCCCCCTGACAGACTACAGCTGAGGTCTTACTATTTAAAAAAATAGTGTATCTAGACTAGTTTAGTAAGAAACTGTAGTTCTAAAGCCAATAACTATATAAGCTGTAAAAAGAAGCTGAACTGAGAGCAGGACTTTGGAGAGCTTTGGAATATTGGGCTGGGTTTAAGGAATGACTTCTGAAAATGGTAAGGATAGAGAAATGTGGCAAAAGAGGTAGGAATGATATTAAAGTATCACAGTATGCTAAAGGCATGGCGCCTTACACAGATACCAGATTCGGAATCCTTGAAGAGAATAGAAATAAGAAAGTAAAAGTAAATTTTTAATCAAGGGACTGAGGTTGTGATATTAACCTTCCAGCTATCTCTGTAAATGTATGTGTTCTTAGTCTAGAAAGAAAAAAATATATAATGGAACTTACACACATTACTCCAAAACACAAGCCACTGCTGCTAATTCAGTATATTGGGCCTAATGTGGGGTGCATGAATATGCCTTCTCCTAAGGCTCTCCTTTTCTCTCAGGTGGAACTGTATAGATTCCAAACCCAATATAAGGTTTCCCTTGATTGTAATAACTAGAGCAGTCTACAAAGAAAGGGTAGCTTTTGAAGAAATCTTTCTACTGAACCAATGGTAGAAAAAGCTTCCTTTTCACCTTCCCCCTTAAACTCAATTGGTCAGTATCTGGACACACATGTGGCTCCCCTTGGAGCCACACAGATATGTTGTTCTAACAGGTTTCACTGCAATATGCTTTCCTTGCAGCAGGAAGGCCCAGTGGGCTAGGTCGGCATTTGGGACTTAGTATCCAATCAGGTAAAGGATGGGCAAGAACTGAAGGGGAGTGTGCCATGACTGTTATATCATTGGGCTGAGGCCAAGCAGGAAAGAAAAATGTTGGATGACCCAATTAGTGACCAGTGAGTAACTTTTCACAATTGTCATATTGAGCTCTACTGAGGACATTAAATGTGATGCTGGGGCCAGGTTGCTGCACTTCCCACCACCAGTGAGTGCAGGCCCGGCCCTGCTGCAGTCATCGGGGAGGGGAGGAGCGGAGCCTTTGGGGAAGAGGTGGAGTGGAGGCGGAACAGGGGTGGAAAAAGGCGGGGCTGGGGCAGAGGCTGGAGCAGCACGCAGCTGCGCAGGGCCCCAGGAAATTTGGTGCCCCAAATTTCCTGGTGCCCTACGCAGCTGCCTACTTTGCGTATGGGTAAGGACGGCCCTGATGTGAGGCATAGGCCAGGGGTCTAATTTTCCCATACACTCTTGTGAAGCCGTAAGTGCCAACCCATTAACACTCACTGCCACCTCCAGATGATAAGGTATCAGGAGTTGGAGTGATCAACACTGGAGCTGTGACAATGGCCTGTTTCAACTGGAACATTGCTTGTATGTGTTGCTCACTCCATTCCCATGAACACACTTGTGTAGCAGTTGGTACAAGGTATCTAAGTGGAAGCAAAATTGGGAATGAAATCTCTGTGGTACCCAGTCAAACACAGAAAGGATCTTAAAGCCGCTGGATCCTTGGGTAGAGGCAATTTTTGGATTGTGTCCACTTTCTATTGCACTGGGGTTCTACCCCATTTTGTCAGGGCGAGACCTAACCAAGAGACATAAGTGGCTGTTAACTGTGCCTTAGCAGGATTGCACTTCAAGCCTACTTTCTTTATTATCTGCAGGAGCTCCTCAAGCCTTTCCAGATGTTCCTTCTTGGTATGGGTCACTAGACAAAGGTAATCTACATACTGAAACAGAGCCATTATTGGTTTAGAAAATTGTGACAGTACCTGCCTAATCTAAGCAGGAAATAACGCAGGGGAACTTTTGTACCTCTGGGATAAATGGTTCCAGGAATATTGGATCCCCTGAAAACTAAACACAAAATCAGTACTGGAAAATGTGGGCCAGTATAACGTCCAAAACCTATTGCTGATGTTGAGGACAGTAAATCATGTGGCCTCTGGATCAAAGGACTTAATGAGATATGGCAGCTTGGCCACCATACGGGCACAAGTAGGTGTGACCTGATTTAGGCATCTCTAATCAATGGTTAGACGCCAGGAACCATCTGGTTTCTTAACGGGCCAAATAGGGGAATTGGCCATGGAAGTACATCTATGTAGAACTCCTTAGGTCAGTAAGGACTTAATAGTCTTGTCTATGTATTGTTTGGCTTGATCTGGGTAAGGATATTGTTTTGGGGCTGGTACATCTCCTCCTTCAGGTTAGCTTTGCATTCTGAAAGATTTGTCAATTCCTATAGACTTGTATTGGAGAAGGCAAGGAGGAACGGAGGGCAAGATATTGCCCACAAGTTTTTATTTCCTCGTGGTTTATTTCTGGGTTTGGCCAGGGGGCGGCAGGCAAGGTAGGATTCAAAGAGTCACAAGGTGAAATAGGCAGTCCCTGGCATGCAGCAGCGGGCCAAGTGCAAGTGCAACAGGGCAATGGGAGCATGTCACCTGCTTTGCCCTCACAAGTCCGTCCTGCGCCCCGGCTGGGGAGTTGAATGCTGGGCTCTCGCTCCAGCAGGGGGGCATGGGGCGCAGGGAGGTGGGTTAAAGCAGCTTAGCTGCCCCTCCACGTGAGAGCCCGCAGAGCTGCCAGCTGCGGCGTCCCTCCCTTCTCTCCCCAGGGAGCAGCAGAGCCTCCTCTGCCTGCAAATCCTGCAGCCCGCCCGCTCTCCGAGCATGCCATGCAAGCCGGTCCTGGCTGCACCGCACTGACAGCACAGCTCAGCCCCAGCAGGGGTCTTGCGCTTCCCACCGCAAGCTGCTCCACGCTCCTGGCTGCTGTGCAATCTACAAGACAAAGGAGCTATTACTGTGTAAATGTACCTATCTGTATCCATTCACAATCTAAGGACTTCACTGGCTTTCTAAATGGCCGGAGAGCAATTCATTGGGAGTGTGGTTCTTATCATATACGTCCTACCTCCCTACAGTCTGTGATCTGCAGCTAGCGTCTTGATTGGCGGCGGTGCCCCCAAATCTTGGCGCCCTAGGCTGCTGCCTAGTTTGCCTAGTGGTTGCACTGGCCCTGGCTGTCACCCTTCCCCTGACTATATATGAAGTAGCACCATCCCGACCCCCCTCAGTTCCTTTGCAACAAAAGCCCCTGAGAGGAGACTCCAATGCAGAGAGAACAGAGGGTGTGTCGTGGAATACACATTTGCATTACATCTCAAAGAGCCACAGTTACAGTAAGTAATGGTTTCTTCTTCGAGTAGATGCAGACATGTAGTCCACTTAAGTGACTCGCGAGCATACCCCAGTCTGGAAGCAGGGCTTGGAGTCTACTGCAATAGGGATCACAGGACCACCCTTCTGAGGTCTTGTCTGCTCTGGAAGATGCGGTAATAGCATAATGATCCGTAAATGTACGGATGGATGGATGGATGACCACATGGCCGCCCTGCATATGTCCAATATGGAAATATCACTGAGGAACGCTGTTGATGTTGCTTGTGCCCTTGTGGAGAGAGCCTGTATCTACCATGGAGGTGTAGCCAAAGCTGTCTCATACCCAGCCTTGATACAGGATGTTATCCATCGAGAGATGGTCTGGGCAGAGCCCACTTAGCCCCTTCATGCGGTCTGCATAAGACACGAACGTGAACTGTGGGTGTGATCACAGCATTGCCTTATCCTTGGAGAACTGAGGGTAAGGCGGCTCAGCCATTAGGGTCTGCAACTCTCATACCCTTCTTGCTGATGTGATGGCTATCAAGAACATAGTTTTCTGAGACAGGAGTGGCAGTGGGTAGGATGCAAAGGGCTCTAATGGAGGGCCCATCAGAGCTGCAAGAACTGCATGTAGATCCCATAAGGGAACCAGTTTTTTCGACCAGAGGATGTAAGCGGAGAAGCCCTTTC